GTGCACCGATAGCCATACGAGTGCATAGCATATGAGCGATGATTGTAGGAAAGCGCTGACAGAGTACTCAAATGCCGTGAATACCGGTGCGAAGCGACCAAAAACAGGTACCTTAACAAAGGTAACCGCAGTTATGAGGACCCAAAACAGAGCCAATGGTTTGACACATGTTTTGACGTAAATATTATCGTATAGTTTGCGCGCATCTGAAGTGGTGTCCATTAAATAGCCTAATAGTAGGCCATTCAGATAGTAGCAGCCGTACCGGTAGGGCTTGATGTGCATTAAATTGGCCACTGAATGGGGTTTCCTAAATTAAATGCATAATAAAATAGGCCATCAATTGTAACAGGGTCATATTCTGGTAAGCTTATAAATAATTGCATTCGCAAACATCTAAAATCAGCAGTTTGCACTACACGGTTGCTACTAAACATGCAGAATAATTTGGGAGGCTTGGCATTTGGACACCCTGTACCATTTTGTGATGATTCCTTTTTTTGTAAGTTCTATTTGTATTTGATATATAATTTGTCCAGATTGTATTTGTAGGAAAACTTGTATCCTCAATAATCTCTCTACGTAATAATCGTTTTCTATGCCATAACTTTTCAAGTTAAAACAAAAATATTTTCCACGGTACTTGGACAAATGGAGTTTAAATGTTTTTCATCAATTATAATCTTGACAACTTATATATCAAATAAAAATCCAACTCTTATTCTACAACTTCGCAAAGGAATCATCAAAACAAAATGGCACAGGTGTCCAAATGCCAAGCCTCCCAAATGGGTTCCATGTTTTGGTGACAACCCTGTATTTTCTGTCTGATTATATGATGTAATAACAAAAATATTTATTTGAATTTTAATGCTAATTGTAAACATACAGAAATTCGTTAATCGGATTGTTAGTAGCTGCAATATCATCAAATGAGAGTTGCTTGACGAATCCATTTGAGTAAAATCTATAGAACTCAATGACCATGAACATAATGTGTCCCATAATGATTGCCCCTAGTCCAGTTCGAAAGTTTCTATTTTATAAAATAAATAATATATTAATATAATGATTGATACAGGTATTAAATAAATGATTCATTTTTGCAAACTCGTGAATGTGCTTGTATAATTTGATACATAAGACGATAAGGCATCTTTGTACAAATTGTACCGACAATTTACACGATTTAAAATAGTTGGTTATTGGATTTAGAAATTCATGTGCTTTTACTTGATAAGTATAATCATAAACGCCGGTGCGATGAGGGCTAACTGTAAAATGGCGGGAACGGACCAGGACCAAAACATGCACTGTAAACATTTTAAAAATCAAAATAAATTTCACAAACAGTTAAACAACTGATAAAATATATATAAAACTTATATACCGTCTGATCGGATGAGATATAGTTGGATACAAACAATACATTGAGAATCCAATTGCTATTACAGGCGCTGACAACAGACGTGTCGAAAAACATATCATTTACGAGATATTTAACGTAAATTATGTAGAAATATAGCGATATATAATAAATTGGTGCTATTTGGATGATGCGACCTAGGTAATACGGTAGCAGCATCGATGTTGCATTGTTATTGCTTTTTTTGTAGTCTTGGATAAAGCACCTTGCTGACACCATACCACTCACAAGGAATCCGGTGAGTAATGTCACGTATGGTAGTAAAAACACGGCATAACTGTCAATGCGCAAATATTATTAATGTTTGTCAAATGTAGTAAAATTACTTTATCGTTATGTAGGGTTCCCAAATCTCAAGGTTCACGCATGACTTTCAAGTAATCGGTCATATTCTCAAGAAATATTTCCAAAAAAATATGGCCAAAAAGTTGGGTATCAAGGAAAATTATGATCTATTTTTAAAAAAATCATGGAATTCAAGGACATTTTTGGAATAAACATAAGAACTCTTAAGGAATTTGATCTATGGATTTGGGAATTGGATCTATCGGTATATAAGCTTGATTAATCTTAACAAAAATATTTGAGAAAGCATACAAATTGAGGTTCTTAAAAGGTGATAAGGCGTCATCCATAAAGTACGTATGCAAAATTTTGGTCAAAATTTAACCCCCCTCCCCCTACATGCCCATCGTACATAGGAGTTTAACATGGGGACATACGCTTTGGCATGACCCCCCACCCCCTAGACGTGTGTATGTACTTTATGGATCACGCCTAACTTTTAAATTCTTTGCATATGAGCGATACTGAATGATAAAATTAAAGCATTTTTGTGGGACTCAATTTGTTTTGCATTTAAAAATTGTACAGCCTCCTTTTTGTTTAGTTATTATTTTTATTCAATTATTTTAATATTATACTCAATAATACATGACTTACGTAACATTCTCGGTCATAGCGGTTATTATAAATTGATTTTCTGTGGGCCATTGTGCTGTTAGCATGAAATAGTGAATGCTTAACATAATAAAGTGGGTAAATGCTCGCACACCACATATCGTACTACCGGTGCCGTCACCATTGTCCAGCATAATCTTACGATAATTAGCGAGCATAGAGAGTGGGCCCCATTTGGTGCCATTGAATTGGTGATCGCCAATTAATAGGTGTTTGTACGTAGCGTAAATAACTGCTAATAGCCATAGGGTTATGATAACAATGAATATGTAGAGGTCATACATGTTTGACAGTATCAAACTGGTGCACTCACTGGACTGGTAATAATGATAATTTTTAAAAGTTCACTTTTATTAATAATGTTAATGTTTTGTATATATAATTGCAGCATGAATCTAGACCAGCGAGTTCCATGTATTACAAATTATTACAACTAGTGATGTATAGACCATTGGGTTTCACTTATTTCAAATTATGTCAACTAGTGATGTATAAACTTAATTCATTTTAAGCGCTAAACAAATTATTTATACAACTATTCAACACTAGTTATTTATACCTTTATATGTTTTAG